TAAATTAGTAGGTGGCATCTAAATTTATATGCCAATCGACGCATGTCTCATCTGAGTGCATTGCTTCCAGACATTTACGGCCTTTTCTAGTTGGGCATATGGCAACAATCCCCGTGATCTCCCACGCGGATTTATGAGCAGTTTCCAGTGCGTGCGTGACCACCTGGGCAATGATCAGGCCCTCCGGGCCTAAAATATAAGATTTATTTATTTATTAATGCCCTCGTCTTCTGACCGCTATCTGATGGTTGTGTATGTAGTTTGAGACGAAAATAAATTGCATCACAATTAACACACAGGATTTTACAGGCTCCGCCTTTTCTATCAAGGTAGCCAAGTATGCGCAAGGTGTGAGCATAAGTTAGTTGCTGTCTGGTGTGTTACATGTACTTATAGTTGTCTTTCGGCAAATTCAAACACATTTTGACGTATGTGAGAGACTGCCACGTCATTGTTTTTGGTGCCTGGGTGGCAACATCATTTTAAATAACTTTCTGCTTGGATTCTTGTTGCTCCATGCACTGATGCACGAACTATCGTAAGTATCCGATTTTGGAGCATAAATCAAAGAGATATTTCACTTCTGCTTGATACATTTCTTTATCAGAGCAGTGTGTTTTGGCTCGATTTAGAAGACTGTAGACAGAAATTCTTTTGAGAGAGACTGGGTGGTTACTCTCAGATCTTAGGATGGCGTCTCAGTATGCTTCGGATGCGCGGAGTAATCCATCAGTATTTCGATGTTCAATAACATCCAGTAATGGGAGTTGTTCATCAACCTCCATCTCAAATGTTAACTCAATTCCTGGAACTTTAGAGTTGGGTTTCTTGTGGAGCAGGTCGGAATGATTCCTCTTGACAAATAAACACGTGTCATCTACATAGTGCAGCCAGATTTTTTGTTTGTTTGTGGAAATAGTTATAGATTTGCTGATGACAGAATGGAACTCGCCGATCTGGTTAAAGAAAATGCATGTCCTTTGGTGCTGTGGAGTTCACTATGGAGCCCTCGCAGGCAGTCCCATAGCGACTTGCAATATAACTTGATAAAAAGGGAAACTAAAAAACAAAGAAAATCGGAATAGCCATTTCTGTCATAGATAATCCAGGGTGTTGACCATTCACGAGCCACTGAGCTACAGACCCGTTGTTTTTGTCGGTTGTGGGATCGGCGATCTGGTTAAGGAATACATATATGTCACTTTGCGTCCCACTGCCCCCTATAGAGCCCTCGTAGGCAGTCCCCAAGCAACTTGTAGAACATAATAATAAATAAATCTATGATGAGGCCGAAGCTCGGGGCATCCACATATGAGATTTGGTATGACTGGCTGATTACGGCTTATAAGTCAGAAATGGCCATTCCAGTCTCTCTCGTCTTTGTCGCTTCGAATTAATATATGCATATATATTTGCGACCAGAGAGGCTTCTTTGATAAACAAGTTTCCAAAAGAAGCCTTTCTCTTCTCAACCAAATATCTTGGATTGCTTAAATAGGGGAATTTATTGGATCCATTAATTTCGAGAGTGCTCATCAGCTGTTTCCTCTCGCTGCATAACGTGAATAACGTAAGAGAAAATACAAAACTGAATTAATACAGGGAAGTCGATACAAACAGCAAGGTCATAGGAAATGGCCAAGCGACTAATCAATAACGTAAGAAATTTAAAAAAAACTATGGGCAGCAAAAAAGGGTAAAAGGTCTAAGGCGCAAAAGTTGGGAACGGGAATGTGCAAACAGGGAGTCAGTGTTACCACGGCAGAGTTAGGTTCCCAAAGGACTTCGTTCCATCGAAATAAATATGTATATACGAATCGAATAAAGTACACAGTCCTTCGCCTGATTCTCTCTTTTGTTCCTTAGCGAGCAATAGTTTATGCGGTCGACGTTGGATTCCATCCTGAAACATATAACTGAGCCCGGTCCCGACTTCTATCAAATTGTATCTAACGCTAGTAAATGATGGAGCGTTGATCATATCATGTAGGATGACACAAAAGGAATTTAGGAAGTGCTGCAAATCCAAAAAAATACTGATTAACGACAGAAGTTATACGGTGCAAAATGGAAGGACATATCAGTTTGCTGAAATATTGAACTCGGTTTCTGCGTAAACTTGTCACAGAGGCTGAGAAAAACCTCAGTTTATATTAAAAGGAAATAGGTGCGTGGGAACAATTTAAAAAAATTAAAAAAACCGAGCAGCATCTCAAAGGTTCCGGGATTAAAAGTGTGAGGATGAGTGGGGTATTTGTTGGCCTATCACTTCTCAAGGCGGAGGAAGGGGTGAACAGAGAGCCGTTCGAATGCCTTTTTGGATTCGTCAATGGTTGAGGGACGAAAGTAATAAGACGGGATGACCTGCTGATTGTACGAAAGACTTTTTAGGAATTTTTCAACCTGAAAGAGCTGTCGAAGTAAACGGACGGAAAGAAATTAGTCGACAAATTATGCAACTATATCTGCAAAATTGACAAGCAACGCTCCAAAAAGCGGTTATAAGAAGGAAGAACGTGTTGTCACTATTATTGACGAAAGTCTCATGATAAGCAGCGTTCGCGGCCGCGAACCGTAAACATTTTTTTGCAGGCTAAGCATATGGCTACTCACTCCTTGCAGGCAAGCATGTGCCAAGGCTCACCGCCACCAACGAATACACGTGCACTGGCCGCCTACGACCTTTTGTCTAGCCAATCCGTCTGACAAATCGCCTTTCAATGCTGACTCACAAAAAGGCCACTCCAGGGCTGTTGCGATTCCTGCGGCCACCTCACTTCAGACGCAGCACTGCGGTCGGCGTTTGCTTGATCATCTGACAGTCAAATTAC